GTGTTACAAAGTATCGCTAGAAAATTGTTAAAGCACTTTGGAAATCTTTACAGATCTCACTCTTAATCAGCCAAGGTATCAATTTCGTCGATGAATTTGGCGGTCTCCTAGAGCACTGTAAATCAGGAAAGATGATGGTCTTCAACTCTTCATTGCGTTCTGACTTTGCTTCGCAGTGTTACGATGCCAACTGCTTGCAGTAGCATTTTGAATGAGCCCAAAACCTACGGAGCGATTTGCATCTCTCGATAAGGCTTACAACTTAAATGTGTCCAGCTCCCAACAGAGGACTTGATTTGGCCTCAAAGTTAGATAAGACGTTGGAGCCTTCCTTAATGTAATTGTGTGACTGGTGGAACCCCTTGCGGCGGCTTTTTTCTGATCAAGCATTATTTAAAGTAAACTTATACGCTTCTGATGGTTGAGATGGAAACCTTAACTTCACTTACCTCTCCAGGATGCCATAATAACACACTTTTTATTGCAAGCTAATTCCATTTCTAAGTTAACCACTTAGACGCTGCTCATTTTGCCTTTTTAAGCTCTCCATTTGCTATTCTAATTTCAATACATTTCGGATGTAGCGATCGCTTATTTACTTGTGTGGGTACAGCCACACAAAACACTACCATGTCTGTCAGAAGGCGCAACCCAACCCATTACCTCCTTTCAATGAAGTTTGATTTATCTATGTAACCCTGGGCTACCACAAGTGAGATTTTACCTTTTCGGGTAGCGCCATTGATGGTCAGGAAGACGACTATTTTTGCTCCTCGTTGAAGTGAGCTAGTTGTCGAGGCTTTCAGAAATCTGCATTTAAGTTAGACTACTTCAGTACTCTCCAACACCTTGGCATGACTTGATCGTCTGGTGAATCTCACATTCCTCCACCCATAATTTTGCATTGCTCACACCAAAATCACTACTACCGCTGTAAAATACTTATTGTTTTAAAAATTGAATTGAGTTTGTTCCCTCTATTTACTTTTGCCACTGGATAAAACAAGCAATTTTTGGCGAAATAACAATGCAACCGCTCACGAACGCTTGTCCTCCCTATCTTTGATACCCTTCGACCATTCGCCGAACTGATCATGCGAATGTTGCTACTTGGAAAATGGGAATAGAAACTCCTCATCAGGGCTGTTGTGGGATCATACCTTAAGCGTCTGAATTCACACTCCGTTAGTCGTCTGTTATATTTCCGCACCGGATGACTTCGGTTCTTTATTACTGCATCACCCTGCAGTATACTTTGGCACTGATAGTTTTGACTAAACTATGTCTTTCTCGAAAGTAAAGCAGAACCAGTACAACAGTGTGGCGCAAAGCCGAAGATCACCCTCTTTTTGACGATGCTGATGCCTCTTCCCCGCATCGCCAACATTATGACTGTTGTATTTTGATTATTTGTTGAACTCTTTGTTTCGCTTTTTTTAAACATTTAAAGCTTAACCGTTCAGCCTACCCTTTGTGCGTGGGTGGCACACATTCTAGCTGGATACTTTCTTGGCGGCACCAGAAAGAGAACCTGATTCCTAAGAGCCTCTGCTTGGATAGGCATTCCTGAATCCTGAGTCTTAGCGCCATTAGAGGAAAGTGCGCATTGTGGACGTAATTATCGGTGGTAGTTTCCAACAGAGGATTTTATAATGTCGCTCATCTCCAGTAGCCAGCAACTGTTGATAAACGAACCATATGGAAAGTTGATTACAAAGGTGTCCGTGGCATGCACAAATGTGTTAACGAGGTTAGCAAGTTAAACCTCCTCCACTCAGAGTGAAATGGCCAAACAGCTCAAAAGTGAAGAAGAAGCGACGAGATGGGAGAGATACAAAACATTGCTTCCATCGCTTAATCTTAAATCCACTAATCCCTTTAACGATTTTACTAAATGTGCATTATCACCCTTTTTAGGAACTGTTTTGAGAGAAGAAAATGTAAAACCCATCGTACATACCCATCGCTTATGGTGGCCCAAAATCATAATCATCGTATAGAGACGGGATTCAGGGGAAATCTTCCTATTAATTGCACTTAAATTTGATGGTCTCCGTGGTTAGTAGGTTTGTGGATGTTTCCTTGCAACGCTGACTATTGTGGAGACGTATGCCAGGGTTGGTCAGGGAGGACACAGGGAACGACGTTTATGGGGTGGAAAAGTTATGCAATACGTTGACTTATGCTTTACCCTCTGTCATAACTTTGACAGCGCTCCAGTCTGCTCTTGCGCACTCTCGCTGGACAACACCATCTCCTCATTTAATTGTTGGAAGCCTAACTACGCATAACTCGTCTTAAGTGCTCGTCTACTGAATTTGCGGCTTGCTGACACTCGATACGTGCAAGCATCTTTGAGATGTTCAAGAGAAGAGAAGAAACCGATTTTGCAAACGATTATTGAGCTTTTTAAAAAGGAAATAGTTCAGAATTCCACCACATTGGTAACGACTTCTCTTAAAGTGAGGTAGCACTATTTCTTCATTGCTACATAATGTAAACATTGCCTCTTGGCTCCAGTCTTAATGTGCGCAAATTAAGAGCTACTAATTAACGGTTGGAGTTGCATGAAAAAGAACTCATTGCTCTCCATTTTACTTCAATTCTGACTTAAAAGAAGGGTAATTATCTAGTGTTATGGGAAAGTACAACCGAGTATGTATATAAGAAGAACAGTGTAAGGACTCGAAGGCCACCTATTTAATTCTATTGCAAAGTCACACCTTTACTTAACTAATTTTGCAGTTCGACGTCTTGGTTTTACCCCCACTGATCCCTTTCCTATGCGACTCGGGCACAATGAGGTTGAATTCGTGTTCACTTCGCGGGCTCGTGGGCTCATTTGCCTCACAGATCTGGTCCACTAGACAGAAGTTTGATTGACTGAAAACGCTGCGCTTCTTCACTCTTTCCCGTGGCAATGATGGGAACGACGACAGCGGTTGTGAAGATCGACCACGACGCGGCATATTCATCATCTGCAGACAAGGTGCTTGCGGCACCCGTGGCTCGCTACTATCCTCTGGGCGGTGCGAGGGGTCCAGATAGTGACCCACCTCCTGAACAAAGTCCAACGAATGCAAACAAATGTCCGCAGTGAGCTCGTAGTCTCTAGAGGTTCGTTTCGGGCTGGGACTGAGAAGACGGCCGTACCTGCAACGCGTATCGGATGAGACAGACAACTTCCAGACGTTCTCCTTCTCCACCGAACTGAGCGAACTGTAACTACGCCCAGAGTAAGCGCTTCCAGTGGAGTTTGAGTCTCGATAATGATCCACTTTTTCCGCCAATGAATTGTCCACTGAGTGGCTGCGAGAAGCAGGTCGGTTGTAGGCGTTGTCAACGACAAGAAGGTAGTTGTTGCTGTTATTGCAGTTGGAATGACGACAGCGACGATTGTGACTGTGTGGAGAAGGGAGAAGACGAGATCCCATGCTGAATTTTCGGTTCACTTCTTCTTTAGCAGCGAGGAAGGTGCCCTTAGTTAGCATCTCATTCTCAAAACAGCTTATTTTTCGCCTACGCTCGGTATGCATCCGAGAAGGACTAGGGGAGGGCTGCTTAGATGGACTGAAATTGGGACTGATGGGTAGCCCTGTCTACAAAAAAAAATAATAAAGAGGAGAGTTATTTGCAAGTTGGCTGAAGAAGTGAGGTGGTAGTGCTGAGGACGCATAATCAAATTTTGCTTTCTCAAGTGTACTTCATTCTCTAATTTTGTAGCCACGTTGGCTTTTGAAAGTAAACCATCCCTTAAAAACAATGGGAAAGCTAAATTCTTATCAGATATGCTCTTTGACTTTTAGGACTGTGGTACTAACGTTGGTGTTGAAATGCAGAGATTTCTGTGTCTCTAGTTTGCGTCAGTGCCTTCGTGAGCTCATAAACCTAATTTGGCATAGGATAAAACAGTTGTAACAAATTCCGAATTCGTGCAACTTTAATGCGCATCCATTCACTTCGTACTCTCAAAGGATGCCCAACAAAAGCATTGACGTGGAAACAGTTCATTTGATCACATTTTGGCAAATGTTAATAAAAAGGCGGAATGTGAATTGCTCCAACACGATTGGAATTTACCAGCTATTTAGCAAATAGGGGTGAAGATTTTCGAAGCTATTGCGGTTTGGCGAGCATTCGTATGCACCAGGAGGAGCACCGTTTGCGAGTGAAATCAAGAAATGCAGCTACCATAAAGATCAAATGTTGCGAACACGTAAATTACAGCTCTCCGTGGCAATTTTATTACTCCTTTGCAGATGGGTCTCATTGATAAGGCAAAGGTCAACTTTGGATGGGGTACTAATGAGCCTGCTTCTTATTGCTTGTCCTGTAGCTTGATGAAAGTGGAGTCATTAGCCACCTGCAGTGATGAATGAATAAAGGTACTCTTCAGCAATATTTTTTTGTGAAAGTATATTCAAGAACTCACCAGTGATCAAAATGCGGGTCACTTATAAGCCATTCACCGTTTAAAGTGACAGATTTTGAGGTGAACTGGGTCTCTGCAGTGTTTAGTTATGAGCATGAATGTCGAGACCTTAGAAGCAAGCTGAAAGGGCACTTTTGAGAG